TACTCGCTCGTATTTTTGCTCAAATTGATAATACCTTACATTTGTATATCATTTAGTTTCAAAGATGTTTATATTTCTTAAAAGATGTTATTACAAACTGAATAATTTATCAGAAAGTAGATTTGCAGTGTGTGCATGTTGAACTGATCAACACTGATCACCCTACTTGGTCCACCTATTCTCACTGGTTTACTTTTACTCATTCATGTTTCATGAGAGACTTAGCAAAATATACTTATATTGTAGCTCAAACTTTTACAAGCTCCAAGTTCACCTGGTAACAAGATAAGTGTTAAGTATATTATCTTTTGGATAAGGAAATCTATTCAGATCTAAGTACTCAGAAGATTATAATTTATTAGTTATGAGCACATTAAGTGTTAACCTAATTATGTAATAATCCAATGGATTAAAACAATGACAAAATTATTATTAAAAATTATTCCCTTGCTAACTGGACATGATGCCTAGAGATCTTGGATGAAATTTATTCTGCTTCAACTATGGAGAAACTTAGTTGCCTAGAAATGTTTTACACCAATAAAAAAATTTAAAAAACAACAAAATTAAATAATAATTATTGCTAAATATAAAACCCAATTGAATGGATCAAAGGAGAAACTCCATGTACAGAAGAAATATACTGAAAACACATGTCTTGAAGTGAATCCATACCATTTTTTTTTTTTTTCTATTTCTTTTTATGTCTCAATAATCAAAACATTTCTAATAACTTCAATTTTTGAATAGTTCTTAAATGAAATGTAAGTATTAAATTTAACTCACCAACTTTGTACAATTGTTAAATCAAAATTTATTTTGAAAAGAAATTTAGCTATGTCGGTCACACGCTAGTCGATCAAGCAATAAAAGAGCAATTTGTTTGTACAGTCAGACAAAACCCAATATCGCCCGTTTCATTAATTTTTCTTTGACAATGACCTCCATGTTAACTCCGTTCAACTTTATCGTTGAATAGTTAATGAAGCAAGCGTATTGATTTTAAATTTGGGCCCCATCCTCATTATAAATTAAGAAAGCCACTAAACCAGGTCTAATGCAAGCCCCTGAAGTAAAAATTTATGTCAAACATGTTTTAACTTAAACCTAATACATGAGCTAGTAATGCTACTAACGTATAGATAACAAATTGAGAAGGGACGTTAAAGATTATATGACATTTGTAGTGAGGTGAACATTAATGTTCCTCACAGAAAATATCTTTAGAAGACACGCAATGAAGTTATCACTTCTCTAGAGAAATATATCTACCAACTTATAACAATTAAATAAATGCTCAGCCATTATACATTTAATAAAAAAGAAAAAAGAAAAAAACTGCATTGTTTAGTAAATTAGAAACTTTTAAACCTAGATAATATATTCTACATAAGGAAATATTTTATCTTTCAGGATTATTATCTGCAGTCGCAAGCATTTTAAATATGTAAAGGTCACAATTTTGGATTTCTCAAAATTTATGACAATTATCCACTTTTTATACTACATATTTAGATATTTGTAAAGTGAAGTTTTATAGTGGAACTACTTGTTTGCAAGTTTGTTCATTATTTGTACGTTGGGCAATGGCTAAAGTATTTGATTTAGGGAAGTCTGAAGGGACCAAGGACTTTTATATCAAAAGCTGCATGAGTACGTTATACAACAACACCTTATCAATTGTGTTTAGAAATAGCCCAAGGCATACGTTTATTCTTAAAGGCATCAACAATTTTATCGGTGATACAGTGGAGTATTAAAAAGTAAAAAAATTTAATACCTGTCAAACAGAGGGCTTAAAATCTAACAACACATTGGGTATCGCAGACGAGCAGTAAGAATCACTTTACAATGCTTTTTTGATATTATCATCAATTAAAAAGCCATACCAGCAATTGGAATCCTATTTTCCATACCAGGAACCCCCAGCATGGAAAATAGGAACCAGCAGGTCAATCGTTTACTAAAGCAATGCTTTAATCCATGTATACTAGAAAGAATTAGTAATCAGTTTTTACTATCACTACGTATGCTAGCTGATTGCTTAAACAACATAATTGATAACAAATTTTTGCAAAATGTGGCTCTTGCTTATCTCACAGCTAATTGATGTACTGTTCCTTACACATTGGGCAATTCCGATTATTTTGGTCTGCTGTTCACTGTCATGGTCTGTCAGACATGGTTGGTTTTTGTCTTACTAAATGGAAACCACACACACCCAGTGTTAAAGAATGTGAATTTAGTAAGAATTAGTAATACAATTACATGCATTACTGCAAACAAATTGATGGAAAATTAAAGAAAAATACAGACACACCTTATTTCAAACTTGCTTTATGTAGTGGTAATAAGTGTTCGGAATGCTTAATAGTTTTTGGACCAAAATGATATGCATTTGGTGTCAAGAAAGAGGGAAGTTTCAGAATCAATTTGATGAATCCTGTAGCATTGATACTGTAATATTTGCACTACCAATGAAATGGATTTTTTTACTGCTTCACTTACTAAACAGAAATCACAGATCCAGAATTGAAGATGGAGAGTTTAGTAAGAGTTAGTAATGTGTAACGCATTCCTGTGGTAAAATGATGGTGAATTAAAGGAAATAACTATAGTTAAGTTAGTTTCATAAAGAGTTACTTTATGTAGTGTTAGCAAGAGTAAGTAATGAAACTTTCTGTTATAATTGCAATGTATTGCTAAAACACTAATGTAGTCTTATTGCTACTGCAGTTGTTTGAATAATGTTTAGTATTTTGAGTAATGGGAAGAAAAATTATATTTGGAATTGATATGGGTTTCGGGAGGAAATCCAAGGTGAATGACCTTACTTATACATTCAAAGGAGGATACTACCAGTGTAGTAAAATATTAATAAGTATTAATTACTTTTGTTGACACACAAAAAAAAGACTTACTTGGCTTTTGTGTGCTGTATGTTGAACTGATGGAGGAGATCCACAGGCCGCCTCATGAAGTTGGGGCACCAGTTGCGACGATGATGGTGACCAGCAGATGAAAACTTGGAAATTGTGTAAAGAGTTGGAAATGAGAGAAAATACAGGGAAAACTTCAGGTTCCAGAGTTTTTGATAAGAGAGGGTTTAGAAAGAGAGGGTTTTAGAAACTAGGGTGGGCTTTAGACAATGGAAATTGATTGCTCAAGATCGAAATGAGAACTGATAGGACAGGATTTAGGATTGGAGGAAGTACAGGATAAGAGGGCAAAGTCCACTTGTCTCTGAGCCTAAACAACTACTAATTACTCCTAATAGTAATAATTAGTAATACAAATACTCTATGAGACATCCAGTCAATAGGCTGCATGAGTAGCAGATTTGTGAAAATTAGGTTCAAAGATAGTCATAGGTTATATCAAGTTTAAATGAAATGTTTTTAAAGGTTAGTGATGCTTATTACTTAGTAGGTTGATTGGAAAATATGAAATTGGGTCAGAAAGGAGGACAGTATTCAAATCAATGATGCAAGTTAGAAAAAGATGGACCTCTATTATCTCAAAGTTTCTTAATGCAGTGCTAGTCATCATTTAGAACAGTGGCTCCCAAAGTGGGCCCTACAGACCCCCAGGGGTCCCCCAGTATCATTCAGTGGGTCCGTGGAAAATCAAACTTAATTGGGGGACCCTCAACAGCGTCAAGGGGGTCCGCGCAAGGCTTAATAAAAAACAATAAAATTGTGATTCATTTTTATTACTATGAAAATGAGCAGTATTGTAATACTCAGTAAAGAGTAAGAGAACTGATAAACACCGTCATTGCAACAACTCATATGGACAACATCTAAGCGAGATGATGATGGTCTGCGTGCTTCTTATAACATTTCTTTATTGATTGCAAAGCTCGGAAAACCGTACACTATTGGTGAAGACTAGACATTGATGCTCATGGGGATTTGCGGTTGCTACTCACAAACATTGAGCCGGACATAAATACACTCATAACATCTCATCACATTCATCAAGTCATTAATTTTTTTTTTAAATTTTGTTTTAAACAAAACTTATAATTTCAATAAAAACTTCTTCAACAAATTGTTTTTTTTTAATTTGTAATTTTTATACTATGCATTTGTGTAGCTTTTTCACTTGGAGGTCCATGGGCAAGTTTTGACTAGAAAAAGGGGTCCATGGGTCAAAATAGTTTGGGAACCACTGATTTAGAAGAATTAGTATTCTCTATGAGACAACCAGTCAATAGGCTGCATGAGTAGTAGATTTGTGAAAATTAGGTGCAAAGATAGTTATAGGTTATGTCAAGTTTAAATGAAATGTTTGTAAAGGTTAGTGATGCTTAGTACTCAATAGTTGATTGCTTGGAAAATATGAAATCGGGTCAGGAAGGAAGACAGATCTGAATCAGTAATAACACACATTACTATCTTCTTACTAGTCACGTAACTTGTTAGATAAATATTTTCCTCGATTATCTCAATGTTTCTTTATGCATTTCTAGTCATCAAGCAGAAGACTTAGAATTCTCTACGGGACAACTAGTCAATAAGCTGCGTAAGTAGCAGATTTGTGAAAATTTGGTGGACAGATAGTCATAGGTTATGTCAATTTTTAATGATATATTTGTAAAGGTTACTGATGCTTATTACTTACTAGTTTGATTGGAAAATATGAAGTTTGGTCAGGAAGGAGGACATTACACAAATCAGTGATAACACTAATTACTGTCTTCTTACTAATCATATAACAAGTTAGATTAAGATTATCTCAGTTTCTTTATGCACTTCTAGTCATCATTTAAAAGGATTAGAATTCTCTATGGGACAACCAGAACCAGTCAATAGGCAGATTTGTGAAAAGATTATTAGATAGATTATATCAAGTTTAAATGATATTATGTTAGTAAGAATTAGTAATTTTAGTTAGTTTGATAGTTTGGAACATGGTCTGAAATTGATGTCAGAAAGGAGGAAAATTTCAGAATCGATGTGGTCAATCCGGTAGTATCGATCCTGTAATATTTTGACTATCAAATGTAGAGTTAAATTTTGTTTTAATAAATTGAAGCCATCTTAGTGAAAATAAAACAACTGAGTTTATAAAAGGTTCGCATTGAAATTTATTTTGAAAAAAAATTTTCGTATACGTGATTTACTTTTTCGATAGGGATCGATTTGAGGGGTGCTAGGGTTTTTAGCCGTTTCAAGGTTAGCGAGTTATAAGGTTAGTTCGGAGAGGGCAAAATGCGTTTTTCCGATTTGTTCCGAATGCGTGGAAATGTGATTTCCCGGGTGGGCCGTCTGGAAAATTGGTGAGTGGCCGGGTGGCGGAGGGTTTTTCCGTCGGAGGGGCGAGCCAGCCGCGCTTTACCCACCGCTCGCCGCTCAGCCTCAGTCTCGTCCCGGCCGTGCTCAGCGATGGGACTGCTCAGCGAAGGGAGTCCGCTCTCCTGGGAGAAGACGAAGGAGCTCGCGGACCACGTCCGCCGCCAAGGCGTCCTCCAGTTCATCAACATGTACCACAGGCTGAAAGACAAACACGGAGACGTCCTCAAATGGGGCGACGAGGTAAAAAAAAAAAAACCTACACGTCTTCCTCATGGACCTCAATTCGCTTCTCGTTGAGTCAGGTCACTGGACAATTCCTTGACGCTCATCTCTCAACTTTTTACAGGTCGAGTACATGATTGTCAAGTTTGACGACGACAACAAAAAAGCCAGCCTCAGCCTCAGGGGCCAGGAACTTCTTAGCATCCTCAACGAAAAAGAGGCCAAAAACCCTGAGTGAGTCATTTGACTTTCATACGATCAATTAATCAACCCTCTCAGTCCACTAGCAGAAAACAACAACAATCTCGTTGATTAAAACCACTAAAGAAAATTATCAGTACAATCATAAAGCAATAAATTATAAACACAGTCATAACTGATAAATCTATGATTATAGATTTTTCTCAAGGCCACAAGACTGTAATTATCACTCTTCATCATATTTTTTTGATAATCTAATATCGAGGAAAAACGCTTAATTTTTTATGGAAAATATGACGAAATTTACCCTTAAAAACATTAATCATATTTTAACAACCGTCTGGAAGGGAAGACAACAGCATGAGTTGGCAGAAACAAATAATGACCTCATGTAGTGTTATCAGTGTACACATTGTCCTTTTTTTAAATATTGTACAAAGGAGTGAATAAAATTTAACATAAGAGAAAAACCAAATTGATCAACTTGAAATCCAATAAAAATATGACCACCTATTATATAACATTGTTATATACTACAAAAATAGATAAAATAGAAAAGAATTGCATTCCACAAGACAACTGATAAAAGTAAATTAGACCAGAGAAGAACACCGTTTGTTCAAGGTCACTAAACTACTGTTACCAAAACTCTCTTATATATTTTTTATTTAATTTAATTTTTTTAATCATCTTAAATGTGAAGTGTAAACAAAAACTATACTGATAACAAAAACTATAATCATTCAATAAACAACCTTCTGGAATTGAAAATTGAAAGTTTTACCACTGAGAGTTAGTTAACTGATAAATCTAAGTTTGACCAGAGAACACCCTGTTTGTTCAAGGTCACTAAACTACTGTTACCAAACTCTCTCATATATTTTTAATTTAATTTAATTTTTTTAATCATCTGAAATGTGAAGTGTAAACAAAAACTATACTGATAACAAAAACAATATTCATTCTTAAACAACCGCCTGAAATTAAAAATAGAAATCTTTACTGCCGAGACTTACAATAGTTAACTGACAAAACTAAGTTTGACCAGGGAACTGCCTAGGTTTTTTCAAGATCACTAAACTACAATTATCACACTCACTCATTTATATTATTTAATTCATTTATTTTTATTTTATATTTTTTTATAATCTGAAATATGAAGTGTAAACAGAAGCTATACTCATAACAAAAACAACAATCATTCTTAAACAGCTGCATAGAATTGAAAATTGAAATTTTTACCACTGAGACTTAACTGATAAAACTAAGTTTGACTCGAGAACAACTTAGGTTTCTTCAAGGTCACTAAACTACAATTATCACACTCCCACATAATTTTTTTAAATTTAATTAACTAATTTATTTATTTTTTGATAATCTGAAATGTGAATTGTAAACAGAAACCTATTGCCAATTTTTATGATAACAGTGATGAAATTCACTTAAAATAACAAAAACAATAATCAGTCTTAACCAACTGCATAGAATTGAAAATTAAAATTTTTACCACTGAATTTATCCGATAAAATTAAATTCGTCCAGAGAACAGCCTAGGTTTCTTCAATATCACTAAACTACAATTATCACACTCCTTTTTTTAATTTTATTTTTTTATGATCTGAAATTTGAAGGTTAAACAAAAAAAATTTGCCAGTTTTTATCACTTAAAACAACAAAACAATAATCATGCTTAAACAACTGCCTGGAATTGAAATTTTTACCACTGAGAGTTACCTGATTAAACTAATTTTGCACAGAGAAAAGCCGAGGTTTGTTCAAGGTCGCTAAGCTATACTTACTACAATTCCTCCTACATCCTAGGTTTGTCCAAAGTCACTAAACTACAGTTATCACACTTAATCCTAATTTTTTCATAATCAGAAGAGTGTAGATAAACAGAAAACAATTGCCAATTTTTATTTAACAATGATGAATCAAAAAACAAACAAAAACAATAACATTCTTAAAAAACTGTCCGGAATTGAGGTCTAACATGTTTACCACTGGGACTTTGCCGATAAAACTAAGTTGACCAGAGAATGAACCAGTTTTTTTTTCGAGGTCATTAAAATGTAGTTATCTCACTTCCTCATATCTTTGTAGTAATTGCTCTTTCAATTCAACCAATTAATCAACTGTCTCAGTGTATTCCACAAGTAAAAAACATAAACAATCTCATTGATTAAAACCACTAAATGAAATTAGAAGTTACATCAGTACAATCATGAAACAATAAATTATTAACAGGGTCATAACTGATAATACTGAATTTGATCTGAGATTTTTTGAAAGTAACTGTAGTTATCAAACTTCTTCATAATTTTTAATAACCTGATGAGTGAAGATAAATAACAAGGAATAATCATTCATTAACAACCGTTGCCCTTTGAGATGTTGTTGTTCAGGGTAAATCAGAATTATCAATTTAAATAATTTACGTCTTCGTATTTTATTACTTTATTAGATTGAATCATAAAGGTAGCTTTATTTCAATTCAAGAAAAAATGTAGAAAAAAAAAGGGAAAAAAAATTATTTCAATTCACAAAGACTCAGTGTTAGTCATCTTGAAATTGCCCTATTAATTCATTTGTATTTAATTTTCGGTGATAATTTATCGGGTCATTTACAATGTACAAGAGTTTATCGCATCGTATAAAACAAATCAGATTTTTACAAGAGACAACTGATAAAACTATGTTTTACCTAGGAACACCTAAGGTTTTTTTTTCATGATCACTAGACCATAGATATTATTTTTCGTTGAAAATTCTTTGGGTAACCGACATTTACAATAAAAATGTTAACTTAGACTTCTATCATCGTCATCTATTAAATAAATACAAAAAGTGTACAAGAGTTTATCGCATCGTATAAAACAAATCAGATTTTTACAAGAGACAACTGATAAAACTATGTTTGACCTAAGGACACCTAAGGTTTTTTCATGATCACAGGACCATACTTATTAGTTTTCGATGAAAATTCTTCAGCTAAACAGTCATTTATAATAAAAGCATTTACACATACTATTTCACTGTTATGAATTACATACGTAATTAAAAAATGACCACATTTTATTCCACTTCCACAATGCAAAACATATCAGGTACTTATCACTGAAACTTATCTGATGAAACTAAGTTTGACCAGAGAATAGCCAAGGTTTTTTCAAGGTCACTAAACTGTAATTACCACACTTCCTCGTATTTTTTTTTATAATCTCATAAGTGAAGATTAAAAACATAACATATACTTTATTCGTATACTGTAATGGCCCGAGATTATCGATATGTAATGTACGTAACTATTTGTCTCCTATATCTTAGAGTGAAGAAATCTCTCCTGTTTTCCTCGTTTTCGATTTGCTTAGTTAGTAATTACGGTTCTTATTTTTGACTGCACATTCATGGAATAATATTGTCTCTTTACAATTCTTGTGTCTTCTTAGCCCTCATATGACCTTGCTCATGGGTTTTGACGATGATTTCCGTTTGATTTCCTTCGGAATCACCAATACAGTCATATCCAACTTTGATTAGTTTGTAAATAAGGCTATTTTTAATCAAATAATTGTCACAATCATCTTGTCTTAGAAGTTTAAAAATAGATTTTAATCCGGTATCGCTGAGTTGACCTGCTTCAGTCCACTCTAAAAATTCGCTGATTTGGCATACCGCTGGGTTACGACTTAAAACGTCTACACGGCCTATTCCTCGTTTTTTCTTCTCCATGGTGGCTCGAAATGCAGCACAGTCAGTTATACAAAATTTTCTGCCAACTAAACGCAAAACTTCCTAATGCCATTTTGTTAGTCCGCTCTGGCTTTGATGTCTTTTTGCTCGTATAAAAAACCGGGTGCGGGTTGCCGTATTTCAATTCTTTTTGCTTTACGACTCCTCCAAATCCGTCTTTACACGCGTCGGTGTTTGTGTCAACGTCAACAATTTTCAAAATAGGTTCCGATGTAAGTTTTTCTTTTAGTAATTTAAAAGCCACAATCTGAGAGTGTTCGAACATAAAATTAACGTCATTTTTAAGCAAGTCGCTGGTTGGCTTTGCCATCTCGGCTACCGTTGAATAAATTTGCGAAAGTACCTTTTCAGACCTAGAAAAGACTGGCTTAGTGATGGTTACAGAAATTTTCGGTCAGCATTGGTTTTTTTCACTCGCGGTACTATATCACGTTCTATGATGTTACCAAGTTATTCTATCTTCGTTTTAAAGAATTTAGATTTCTTCCAATTGATTATATGTCTACTCTCCGAACATCGTTTAGCATAGTTTCCAAATTTTTTACCGCGTCTTCTTCGTTTTATGTTGGTATATGTCGTCATAGTATAAGGCAATGATCCCTGTTCTTATCAGATCTTCGAAAATTACCGACGTGTTCGGAAAAGCGTCTCGGTTCTTGGGTGTCAGACTCAACAAGCAACATAAATTAAAGAGACAGATCAAAGTTGAAACAGCAAATTAAGCTCGTTCAATCACTGGAAATTTTCCATTAAAAGAAATTAGGTGTTAAAGCTTCAGTACTTTGGTGCCAAACTCAATCAAGGGATAGAAATTTAAGAGGCAGTATAAAAAATATATGTGTGTGTGTGTGTGTGTGTGTGTGTGTGCGTGCGTGTGTGTGTGTGAGTGAGTGAGAGAGAGCGAGAGAGATAGAATGGGTAGGGTAGTCTTGATCTGTTGTCAAGTCGTTTGAGCAGTGTATATGGTTCGTCGAGTGCTGTCACAGAGGGAGGATTTAGTTTCGTTAATTCTGATCCTCCATTTCTTAAACCATTCATCCAAATTTCTTGGGGATTTCGAAGGCTACTAGTAGTAGTTTATTATTCTCCTCTTCCATCTACTAAGCCGAACCTGGTGTTCCACAAGGCAGCACCCTTGGCCCCATTCTTTATTTAGTATACAGTGAAGACTAAAAATCCCGATACAGTACTCGTCACGCAGGATCCATTTTTAAAAAACCCATTTTAATAGTAGCCTACTACTTGATCTGGGTTTTTGAAAAATGGATCCTGCTTGAGGA